ATGGAAGTTCCATGGAATTCCATGGAAATCCATGGTCTTCCATGAAAATTTTCATGGACTTCCATGAAATTTTTCATGGAAGACCATGGAAGTCCATGGAACTGTTTCATGGAAGTCCATGGAAGTCCATGGACTTCCATGAAACTTTTCATGAAAAAGTACGAAAATGTACAAGCCCCCATGTCGATGTGCCCGACGGTTTGGTGAACCATGTCTTGCCCCGCTTCATGGATGTACGTCGGCAACTGTTTGACGGCAAGGAAAGAGGGGAGGGACACATGACTGAACGAGGCACGCTTGATCTCGTTGAGTATCTACGGGTAGTGCTTGTGCGCGGGGCCGTTGAGCTGCAAGAGGAATTTCCAGAGAACTGGCTTCTCAAAAGGTTTCCGTTCAACTCACGGGAATTTCTTCAGTGGGCACCTGTTGCACGGAACGAGATACGCCAACTGCGCGCATCCGATGTCAAGTCACGGCTCCACTACCAGGCGTCTCCTGCAATCATCAGTGAGCTCTCACGTGTGAACGCCAAGGTGGGTACACCACCCTTCGTTCCGGCGTACTAGATGCCGACTCGTAGGGCACCGTCTTGTGCAATTTACTGGACAGAGCAGTTTTACAGCACACTATCCTGTTGTGTACGTCGTTAGGAAATGACTATTGTCGTGCCGGAAGTAGAACTAGGAAGTGCAGCAGTGTGCGTAGCTCCGTCAACCCAGAGGATACCCAGTTGGCGTGAGACACATTGCGAATTTTGTCCCCGAAAGGGGCGTTCGGTACAGCGATGTTGCTTGCCTTGAACTTCACCGCATTTTTCAGGGCACCTACAGGAGAACTTCGACGTTTATCTCTTACTTACGTAGTGTTGTCATCTTAGCCCACACTTTCGTGAGAACGCCTGCAATCCGACATGGTGGCTTCCTGCGCGTGGTGCATGGTGCTGTGTACACGCCGTAAACACGTGCAACCGTTTCGGTGAATAAACAACGTTCATAACAACAACGGCAGTTAAAGGAACACACGGCACGGGTAGTGCTGGAACTCGTTGCTCTCCTGAGCCTTCATCCTCAGCATACATACAATCTTGAGCTAGTCTTGCGGCGGAGCACGCGATAAGAACTCGGTCTCAGAAATATTGTGGGGTTGTGACCTAAAAAAACAAAGCTTATGGGAGAATTTGAGTCAACCTCATAAGAACTTGGAGCTAACCATTGGATGTTCCTGTACATGTTTTATCTTTCGTTCTCCAGCGCTGACGTCGTTTGCCTTGTCGGTAACAATACCATACACTTAGTTGTACCAGTACGACGACACCAAGTTACACATATTGGGTTCGCAGAGGACGTTCAAGGAAGATAATGCGGATGTGCCGGTGGTGATGGTATCCTATCCTCGGCATTTCAAGTCATGACACAATACGAAGAAGATCTTCCCCTGCGGGAAAATGCTGCATTTGTTGTTTCTTCATCCTCCCTGCTGGTAGCAGTTAGTGGGACAACCACCCCTGGACACACTTGAGACCAACTGAAACGAATCAGCGACCTCAACCCTGGAACGTAATGCAAGAATATTATTGGAATTTTGAACGTCGGGACTGCTGCTACTGTGGGGAGGGGCAACGGTCTAAAAAGGGTTGCGAAATCAATATCGAGACACCCTTCCTGCGGCTACTACTTTTCTCCTTCAAGCAGCCTCTGGTTCACCCCCAAGATACTTTGCGATATTGTTGCTACAAAGGACTGTCCTTGGTGGACAAGTCTAAAACCCCCGGGCATTACAGATGCAAATGCCGCGTGAACCAGTGATCAAGTATGTGTTGAAAATGAGTAATTTAGGTGAGAATTGACGATGTTATGCCTTGCCAGCAAGGATTCCAACACGCGTGCCAACAAATGCGACTCTACCTTTCGATCCCTGGGTGAAAATGTTTAACCCCAGGGAGACCCCCCTGGGCACCCCCGGCGAGCCCTGGGAATGTGGGATGACCCCTAGATAACCTTAACCTTCCCGACCCAGTCTTCATGTACATGTACCATACCTTCGTGTTTTGGTTGACGTATGCATAGAAGCCTGCACTAGGCATAAAATTGGAGTACTAAATGGAGAATAATCGTATTTGTGCAGGTGCAGAAAATACCAGCAGCAGGTGCTTTGCTTGCCATTGCACCCCCTAGTACGTTAAAAACTATTCTTTGTCAGTTATTCTAGCCTATATTAGTATGCTCTCTCGTGCGCAATGGAGGCTTTGTCTGGGCCATTCGCCCACCACATGCAGTTATTCTTGTCGAAAAACTCAATGTTTGGGCCCGAATAAGTATGTAGCCTAACAAATAACCACGCAAGTTATTCGCCCCCGACTCCGTTTTGCATACCGCGTGTGATTGTTTTAGGAGAGGGAAGCTTCCTGCGGCTCAACCGAAACCTGTGGCAGCAGCAGCGGCACCATCAGCGCCGTCGCCGGCAGCAGCAGGTGCGGCATCATCAGTCGGCGACACCATGTTCCCGGGAGAGTCAGATGAGTGGACAGATGGTTTTGGTGGGAGCCTCGGCGGCGCGTCGGTGGAGGGCAAAAGGAAGCGGAAGAGAGAGAGAGACAGAGAGAGAGAGAGAGAGAGAAGCTGGACTTGGAACCGCCGGGCTTTCCCATCGAGTTCGGCGGAGGCGCGAAGCGCAAGCAGTATTCTGTGTCGTTCCAACTAATTGCGGTTACGCGCTGAAGAACGTCCCGGGGGGGATGGGCGAGGGGGGGGACCATCGGGATATCGTATGCCACAAGGCAGCTGGGGATCGCTGAGAGGACCACGCTTTCATCAAGAACAAGCCAAACGCTTGAGCAGCAGCTGGAGACGGGGAGCAAACTCGGGGCCAAGGGCATGAAAAAGGCTCAGAGTGTAATGTCGCTCAATATCGGGAGGGTGCCGTCACACAAGGAGAGTGAGCTGGAGATCGTGGCCTGGATCAACGACCTCCGTTCTGCGGCCATCTCTGCTCGCATTTCCACAAGGACGATGAAGAACAAGGCACTGTCACTGGACCCGCCATTCTTTGGAAAGAGGCCCGAACCGAAGGACGTGGAGGGTAGTAGAAAGTACCGAAACAAGCAGACTACCTGGTGCAAGAGGTTTCTGAAGGCGCACCGCATGTCGGTGCGGGCGGTAACCCGGCAAGGCCAGAAACTTCCTACCGGGTTGCCGGCCATTGCCATGAACGCGGTGAAGGAGTGGAGGGCGCTTCGTCATGGAGGATTCATTGGTAAGGGAGGGGGGGCGGGGGGGGCGGGGGGGGCGGGGGGGGGTGTACTCATAGTCGTGCATGCCGTAGTCGTTAGACCATTGACCTCGTATCCCTACAAAGCCGGGACGGAGCACGCCGGGTTCTCACCGGACCAGGCTCTCACATCACCAAGCGCAAAGTGCCGTGAGGTATTCGGCGAGTCGCATGAAGGGTGAGCTGCATCCTGCTAAGGGTGTTCGGCATCTTGTGCTTACTTCCTTGCAAACGAATGACAGCTGCGTACGACTTAATTTATTTGCTGGTGCTTTCACTTCCAGAGACAGTTGTAAGCACTGTATAACTGCCTCGAGGATGCTTGACCATTTTAACACAACGTGGTGCGATCATCCCCCTTGCGCGGAGTGAGGCTTCTCGACCCCGAACAACATGATCTACTCGACCACCATTCATGGTTACCGCAAAAAAAAAACAGAGGTAAAAAAAAAGGTAACCTGGTTGCCGAGTTCACGAAGTGACTTGGCTTGTTTTACAACGTCGTTGCCAAGCGACGAAAACCCAACCCCGATGGCAAAACACCGGGGGCGGCGGCTTGTTTTACAACGTCGTTGCCAAGCGACGAAAACCCAACCCCGATGGCAGAACACCGGGGGGGGGTTAGGGGGGGGGGCAGCTAGCGGTGGGCCATCGGGGTCACCCCTCAAGTTGTCGAAATAGCAGACGGTCAACATGGACGAGACGGGGGTGTGGTTCGAGAGCCATGCCAAGTCGACCGCGACGGTGAGTAGCAGGTGTGGTACGAGAGCACCCCTCCTGTGTTGGTGTCGTTCTCGTAGGAGTCAAATGAAATAGGTGTCATGCAGCTGCTGGGTGGGAATTATTCGGCCTTTGCCTGCACCACGGCTACTGCGATACCATCGTGTACATATCATCGCGCAAGTGACAATTTATCACCTGTCTCTCTGGACTACCAAAGCATCTATTCCCCAGAAACCACGACTCTACCAACAAGACACGGCTGGGTACTTCCGCCGTGGCAAATTTAGTCGAGCTTAAACTCTCGTGGCATGACAATTTTTCGGTGTTGTATCGGCTATCGGTCGACTCTTACCTTAGCGTCCGCCGGTCCGCGTCGTCCCGCAGCCTCCACGCGCGCTCTCGCCAAGCCAGGTTCTATGGTACAACAATCGCACCGGAAAGGACGGGGGCATGCGGACAGGAGAAGGTACTGTAAGCTTGCATGGGACCGGCAGCGACTAGCCCAGGACTTGATTTTTTTATTCGGATAGACGTCGACGTAAACGCGAAGGCGTATTCAAAACAACAACAACAACAGACAGACAGACAGACATATGTATAAGACGACCAGCTACTGTTAAATAAGCAGGCGCACAATGGCCGACCATGAAAATACATTTATCGATACGACCAAGTGTACTATTGGGTAGGTGAGAAAGAAGCGTGGCCGTACAGCACCTAATACCGGTCCTCCGGGAATTCACACTTGTTTGCTGTCGCCCGGGACTGCGTTGCGAAACGATAGATTCAAGGTCTACTAAAGGTATAGGACTCGTTCTCAGCAGGGTCACGCTACAACTTCGACTTGTGTTCACGCCCACCTCACCTCTTTGACGAAGGGCTCTAGGCCCAGTCGGGTGGGGAAGTCGCACCGCGTGCTAACCTTGTCGGTCTAGAAGGTATAAAGACCCGTATTTCAAACGGCTCAGGTGGAGCACACCGTTCGACGGAAGCTTCCCCGAAAACGGTTCTCATGTAGATGGGTGCGTCCGCCCGCTAAGATAGTTCAGAAAAAAAATCACGTCAATTCATCGGGAGTCAGTTGCTTGACGATTGGGAAAGAAGTTTTGCCAGCCAGCGGGTTCGTCAAAGGGGTGGTATTGGCGACGATGAAATACCGCGACACCAGAGAAAGCGCGCACACGAGTGGCGAAATACCCCCACACGAGAGAGAGAGAGAGAGAGAGAGAGAGAGAGAGAGAGAGGGGGGGGGGGGGGGGGG